CTTTTCACCATTTTTAAAGCATGTAAATAAAACTTTTTGCCTTATCCATAACTAAAAATATTGTTAAGCTATTTCACCACCGAAAAATCAATCTTTCTCCTGTCACCTTGCCTTATCTTTGTAAAGAAAGGAGAGAAAATGGTACTGCACTCCTGAAATAATTCTGACATCGGCATCTTTTGATCTTTTCATCTGGACCACACAGGTTATGAGACCCCTCAAGTTGAAATGACTTCTCTCAATGCTTCTTCCCCATTGAAAATTTCTTTAATTTTCTTATCAATTTTAAGACTGTATTTAACACAACTGGGGTAAAGAAAAGAGAACAGAAGTATAACCTTTGAGGCTTTTATGTAAATGAAACATTTATTCAGGCACTTGATAGCTGATCAATTGTGCATAATCATCTCCATAGGTCGTCATGACTTACAGGTACGCATTACTTTTTTTTCTGTGAATCATGGAAGGTTTATTTTCCAAGAAGGTATTAACCATTTTCCCTATCAAATGATAAGTAGGTGTAAGGGGATGTGAACCTAATAATTGAAACGGACTGAGGACAGTACGCTCCTATTTGGTATCGTATGTCTAACTTGAGTATCTATGCTAATAGGAAAATTATATTTATTTATCTGTAGCTACATCCAGAATTATGTATTTATATCAAACTTCTTTATTCTTTTTTATATTTCTTACATAAAAAAGAATATATAAAGAATCTTCTTTTTTCAAGATAAAAAAAGAAGATTCTTTATATCTTAAAAAAAGGATTATATAAAGAATCTTCTTTTTTCATCCTTTTTATATCTCTTTTTCTCTTTTATATATTTCTTATTGTTTAAATAAATATTCTTGTAGATATTTACGGTATCCTTGTAGATATTATTTAATTATTTCTACATCTTTGAGAATATTCTAAAAACAATTTGCGGTGTTAAATTTCGTTATTAGGGTACCCTTCCCGTAAACGGACAACTCTCATAAACGGACAAATTTTTTGGTCCCATGAATGTCCGCTTAACGGAGGTTTCACTGTATATATATAAAACATGTAACCTAGTTGTTATTTTATTGAAAAATTGAAAGTATAAATGAAAATATTATAACTTATTTAACTCACCTTCAACAAGAAGGAGAGTGCTAGTAACTAATGTAGCAATTTCATTCTCTAGAACACATTCGAATCGGCCATGATCTTCTTTGCGTAGTCCTTTTATTGTTAAGTTACCACCTCTTATGTTAGCTCTTTCTCTTGGTAACTTTTCCCCATCAGCCTATACCATTAAAAAAATAGTTAATTGTGTGACTTCTAAAATAAATTGAAATTCTAAAAACATAACAATTTTTTCATCTATTTTTTAGTGTTTAATTCTTATGCAAGACTTTATAGGGCTTTCTCTAGACTTCATACACCACCTATTTTTAATTGAATTAAAAGAAATATGCTTTAAAGCAAAGTAGCCGCATGTAAATAGTCATATATACTCAGAGATCAACCATTTATATGTTTTTGCAGAAAATATTAAAGTATTTTCCAAAAAATGCTAAAATAGAAGGATAAAAAAATTGCTTTGAAGTACCTATTTTATAGATATAAAACATTTTATTTAGTATACTTTTTATTAAATATGCCTTATTGCAACATCAAGGGGAAAAAATTAATTTTTTCCCTCACTAGTTAAAAGTGGTAGCCTCAAAATTGTGCTAAATTAACATAACTGTTTCAGGTAGAAAGATAGCATAGAAAAATCATCAAATATTACACAAAGTGTTAGAAATGTATAGAAAAATAAGAAGAAAAATAAAATTAACAAATGGAATCTTACTCTTCTCCAGACAACAGTAGGTTTAGGTTGTCCAGACCCTTCACAGGGCATTTTCACTTCACTGTTAACAGCTTTTTGATAGGTATCTTTAGGTTTAACAGTAAACATTGGAGGATCTGTAACAAAAAGAGAGGCAAAATATGTAGCAGTTTCATTAGTACAAATAGTTACATAATAAATACTTTTATAGAACAGAAAATATAGAATTAGATAATTCTAAAAAGAACATTAACCTAGAAAATATACAGTTCAAGCAAACTTCACAATGGTACATTTTTCGATTTTACAAAAAATTCCATTTTCTATTAAGATAATAGATGGCATTGCAATTCAGATAATCAAAGAAAGTATATTAAGATAATAAGCATCTGTTATTAAGATAATAGAAGAAAAAAAACACTTTTAGACAAATTCATTTCTTGCTTTTACAAAATATTTTCCCAGAGAAAATTTTTAAAAAAAAGTTTTAGTGCTTTGGAAATATTTAGACAAGTAAACAGCTCATCAGGGTAATTTCGTACACTAGCAAATAAAACTAAATTTTATAAACTAGCAAAATGTGAACTCGATATCACTAAATAATGTATTCGTATAAATAGTTTCAGAACAATAAGTCATAATAATTTTTCATAAATAATTTAATGTCACTGTTATTCAGTTTAGAAATTAAATATGCATTATAAAACTTTTTAAATGGAAACACAATTATTACTTAACCAATAGAATTAAAAATTTTACCAATTTATAGGTTCTAAATCTTTGATATCACAATTTTTTTAAGAATCTCACTTCAACTTTGATATATTGAAGATTGTCAAGATTTGAAATACTTGATAAATAATAAATTTTAAGTACCTAAGGTAGCAATATCATAAACAGAATTATTTAAAAATAGAGCTGAATTTCAAATGAATTTTGATTATTAATAGTGAAAAAAATATTTACGTGAAATTAGATGAAAAATTACAAACAATATATAATTTTTAAAATTATGAAGAAACAGAGATAAAAAAACTAATCGATCAGCAACGATTGGTCGCTGCTACGAGATACAACTCATTATAATTTCTCGATGTTCCAAGTCAGATTTTAATGGTTTTGGACCAATGGACCATATTAATTTTCAGTTCAGATAAATGTTAATGAAAAGATAAGAAAAAAAATCTCACCTCTGACTAATACCTCCATAATATTAGATGTACCAGCTGTACCGTGAATGTTATAAGGAGTACAACGGTATCGTCCTTGATGCTCATGGCTCACTCTTTGAAACAGCAAAGAACCATTATTAAGAGTTATTACTCCAGGATTAGCATTAGGGTCAAAGGGTCTACGATCTTTAGTCCAGTTGATGAACTGAAATGGAGGATTCGCTTGGACATAACAACGGAGAATTCCTGAGAGTCCTGATGGAAGGTACTGTATAGTTGGTGAATATGTAACTCTGGCTGGATCTGCAAATTAAAAATCAGAAACAGAGAGTAAGCACAACAGAAACTAGTTAGAAAAACAGATACATTGAATTATATCAAGTGATTCTCAGTGATAATTCCGTAGCATCTTAATCATATCAAAAAGTTAAACAAATACAGATCTTCAAGAACACAAATAATTATTTTTAAATACAAAATAAATGAAGAAATATTTAAAAAAAAAACATATACCAAAGGGGTAAAATAGATAAGCAAACTAATAAACTTTTTTACTTAAATCATGCTACAATTGCACCACAGGCGACTATTGATAGACAGCTTTCATTAAAAAAAAGTATTAGGTAACCTGTAGCTCTTAAACTTTACTTTTAAATACAAATATAAAAATTGAATTTATATCTAAATAAAAAAATTTAATTAAATTTCAAATGAATTTATGAGCTTTGTTCATTGATAAGCATAAAAGTCGGCATTTTTACAAAATTTTTCATTACGTAAACAAGCATGATTAGTTGCCTTAAAAAAATTTAAAAAATATCAATAGATTGAGGAAATAAAATATTGAACTGGATGAAAAGTGTGTTGATCTTATTTTGGACAATGACTCTGATATTTCTTTCGGATTCTGATTAATGTATATAAATATATTATCTTTCTTTTTATCAAATAGGTTGTCGTCCATATTTATTATTTTTTCACCTATTTGCAAGTACCGCAATCGTACCAAGATTTAAAAATAAAGGATTGCTGTAGAAGGTAAGTTAGATTTACTAATTTATGCTTATATTTACTTTCCTTTGCTATAATTATTTTTACTTTTTTGTTTATTTTTTGCGATTCATATTTAATTGAACTATATCAAATATAGTTGATTTATTTAAAACAACAAAATGCATTTTCTTCAGTATCACTTATTTGCCCCCCCCCCTTAACATTTCAGAAATTTTCGTCAAAATTAGGGGGTACTTTATCTGTATTTTATTTATTTATTTATTTTATTCTAGAGGCTTATTATCTCATATTTTTAACTATTTAGAGACCTAAAACATTGATTGAAATTGGGATGAAACACAGTGAAAATTAATGCCATTGTATTAGCAAGGCATGGAAACCCATCCTCACTCAAAGACACACAGACATAAGTAGTTCTCGGATGATAAAAAATTTCAGTTATTTTTCAAAATGCTGATTTGAGGTTCAGTGCAAAAGGGCGGAGAATAGGGCGTACATGTAGAAAACGTTTTCAAAATGCCGGAGAGTTAGCAGCTATAGACCATGCAAGCCAATATTATTTTCAAACTGCACAGTACATCAGAAAATTTGGGGTTAGAAACATTTATATGCACCAACTGGAATGAAACTGACACACTAATTGAACTTACATTCAACACTTAGAAACGCAGATGCAGAATCTGGATTTCCTATTCCATTTGATACTTCACAAGTATAAAGACCAGAGTCCTCAGCTGTTAATGGATTAATAAAAAGGAGGCCATCTTTTCGTATGAGAGAGCGACTTTCTAACCATGAAAGCTGGCTAATATCATTGCCGTTATGATACCATTTGTGTGTTATGTTTGCAGGTAAAGCTTTAGCTTCACAAATAAATTCAACTTTTCCACCTTCCAGTTTGCTTGTATTGCGAGGAGGTCCAGTAATTACAGCAGGGCCTATGAAATAGTATTTCAAAATCAGGTTACATTTTAACACCATTGAGACAAAATAATAAATGATTTATAATATCAATTAACTGTAAGACATTTTATGCTTTTAGTAAAAAAAAAAAAAATGAATTTAATTAATATTAAACAGTTTATTTTATCTTTTCAGTGTTTATTATGACTGTTATATTCACTAAACAGAGATTTTATTACTACAAAGGTTAGAAAAAATAATTAATGATTTTATTTTTTTTTTTGTAAAACTAGGTTTTTTACTAGGCTTATACTAGGTTTTTTTTTTCTTTTTCAGAAAAAAAAATATATACAAAGTTAAAATAACACTTTTGACATAGACCAAAAAATCATGAGCATTTTTGGCCTCATTTATAAATACATCGAAGAATCCTATTATCCTCATTATTTGAATAATTACATCAAATATTGAGATTTTAAAAATTGAAAAACTGCCAGTATTTTATATTACGGAAGCAAATCAATCATTTAGTAGAAAATTGTGCTTGTATAATATAACAAGATGTAGTTCTGAGAAAAAATTCATTTCAGAAAATCATGTCACAAATCAAAGTATCAATACAAAGTTCATAAAATTATGTATTTGGCTAGACTAAATTATTTTTTTATGTGACATATACCTCAATTAAACATTTTTCTAAAGAATTTTTCAACCTACTTAACCCACTTCAATCTTTTTATGGTGTATTTATCCTTTTTTTAAAGATAGAAGACACTTTATTTACTATAATTTTTTTTAAACTTGTTTTCAGTACATAAAATATGATTTCAAACCTTTCTTTTCACGGAAAACATCACATAATACAGGATAGGTTGGATAAAATTATATTCATGCATGCTTGCCAAGTATATCATAATTTCAGGGGAGTATTTTTCTATAAAAATAAATTGTAATGAAATAAAAATAAATATTAGTTAAGTTTTATTTGTTTACTTTTTCAATTCTAACACTGAACACAATAAAAAGTAAATATCAAGTATTCTAATATTTTTTTAAAATTAATTAAACATTATATTATGACAGTCAAAAAATTCTTACAACACATTCATTAAATAGAAAAATAAAAATTAAATTACAAATTTTGCTCACACAAGGAAAAATCTTCAGGCTAAAACAGAAAAGTTGGCAGATGTAGATTAAGGATAGTGGATTTATGGATTAAATATAGATCGAAAAAAGAAGACCATCCTAAATAGCTTTTGATCTAATGATCAGATCTTTATGATCGAGGGGATGACATCAAATATGCTAATCAGGGGTAATTGGGACACAAAGTGAAAAACCCTAAAAATTTTATGTGAATAAATTGTTATCAATTTATATACCATGCCTGTTTCATATTTACTATCATTTTCTGAACTAATATTCAAAACTAAATTTTCTAATGCAGAATATCACACCTTTACAGTAACTAATTCAAGAAAAAACTTACTTCTTACAAGAATCACGATAACGGATTTTTGAATCGCACAAATATGAATAGCGATATTGGATTCTAAAAACACAAATATACATATTGCAACATTTCATTTTTAAATGATGTAAATATGAATAACTGTGGAAAAGTTTTAGATTGCATGAATACAGATCACAATGTGTAGTCTATAAATCACATATAAATGTGAAAATTAATGTTTGATATTACAAACGCATAAATACGAATCACATATTTATTATAAAAACCTGTGACTATGAATTTATCCGTGACTATTTTTGGATAGACAAATTTTATAATTATGTGCAAAAATTTTTCTTAACTTAAAAAGTTCTCCAGATATGGCAAAATACGTAAAAAATAAAATTCACATTAACGGGTTCAAACTTTGGACTACTCTCCAGACTAAACTGTAGGGGCCAAGCTTCCGAAATTGCATCTACTCTATATATTTCAGGGGTTTAGAAATCTGAATCCATTAAGAAAAAGGTATGTTTATTCAGAGAAAGTACGTTTTTGTGTCTGATTTTATAACTTAAAATATAGTCTGCAGTTAATTAGCATATTTAAGGTCAGCCCCTCGAACCATTAAGATTGAGTCTTAGAACCAGACAATACGATCATTAGATCAGAGAAAAAATTATTCAGAGTGGTCCGTTTATTTACACAAAATAACCAAAAACTGTGTTAGAAAGCATGCTATACATTAATTTAAAATTCCTCATTTTAACTCTTAAATATGATTTCAAATTGTTTAATCACAAAGAATGAAAACTATATGCACATGCCTGCAACTATAACTTTGGTTAAAGCATTAACACTTCCTTCTTTGTTGCGAGCAACACATAAGTAGTCCCCAATGTCCGTCTGCTGAATATTACTTATACGTAGTTCAGATGCTGTAATTTGTAAAGATGCAGATGTTTGAACAGGTAGATTGTCCTAAATTAAATAAATTGATTTTAAAGAGAAGAATTTAAGAACACACACTAAAGTTTGAATTAAGAAAAGAAAAATTATTAATAATTAGGCTAAAATTTAAAAACAGGTTTTTTATACTCATGCTGTTTTTATCTTTTGTAAAGACTATAAACTGGCACTTTCTGCTCAACTTGAGAGAGTTTCTTATAATGTCATCTCTATAATTAAATCATAGCATAACAATCTCTATAATTAAATCATAGCATAACAATCTCTATAATTAAATCAAATGATTAATTTTTAAATCTAAATTAAATCCATTACATTTTAATAAATTTAGGCAAATTAGTTTCAACATTGAATGTTTAAGATGATCATTGCTCTTTTGTTAGTGTAAAGAAATAAAAGACTATCCTTGCTTTTATTTCTTGTATGCAAACTTTTAACTAGCTTAACTTATTTGAACTGTTCATGTCTTTAGCAATTATATTATTGGTATTATAACATACAGCCAAAGAAATGCTTTCTAAGTTTAATGTTAACAGTTGTTACCAATCTTTTCCTATTTTTAAACCACTCAAAGACAGTTAATACTTCAACCTATTGAGAGTTCTCAAATTTAATAACTTTGCAAAAAAAAGTCAAAATAGATGCTTAAATAAAATAATTTACATTTTAATATGACTAAATTAAGATAAAGATACTGAAGAAATATTTAAAAAAAAATTTCAAAAATGTTTAGCTTCTTCCAGCAAGCTCTTCCATTCTGAACTCAATAAAAAAAAAAAAAAAAAAAAAAAAAAAAAAAAAAAAAAAANAAAAAAAAAAAAAGAATTAGCTGCTTTCTCACAGAACAAACAAGATTTGTGTCATTGCACCAAAACCACAAAATGCACTAATTACATAGACATAGGATCATCAATGTTGATAATTTAAAAAGAAAAAAAAAGGGAAAAGAAAACAGGAGAATTTTTTTTTTTTTTTTTTTTGAAAATAAAAACAATCTAAAACGTATGTCCTGGAAAGTAAAAGAAATTTCTTTTTAACTAAGAAATGCAATATTTAAATAGCAAGCTTTAATAAAGTAAAGCAGCAAAAAAGCATAGCAAAAAATTAAACTTGAAAGTATACTGTACTTTCAAAGTGTGCAATAACGGACAATTGAAAACAAATCTTACGCATTCATTAAAACAAATTAAGAATTTTAAAAAAAATCTTGCTATTTTATCAAATACTTGAGCAAACAAACCTTAAACCATGAGACAACAGGAAGAGGTGTTCCGATTGCTTCGCAGCTGAGAGTGACAGATTCACCCACTTTTACATAAACAGTGTCAGCAGGTTTTAATTTAAAATGGGGAGGTGCTAGAAAAATAAAAGTGGATTAGTTAGGTGCTAGGTATTTAAGAAATATAAATTATTTAGACACACACTATTCTTTTTTTATTTAAAAAAAAAATTCTTTTAATAATAACAAGTATTGTTTTTAATAAAAAAGCTGTTAAAATGTTAACAGAAATACTTTTATAGCTAGAAAAAAGTGCAGAGTAAATAAAATAAAATAAGTAAGTTAAAAAAATCAAGACATTTTAAATTTCTTTCCATATCTCTTTTCAAATGTCTATTTATCAAATATTTCACAACTTGTGAATTTTAAGTCTTCAAATTACTCTGCACAATAAAATACTTTTCAAATATTATTTTCTTGCGCCAATTACTACGAAAATTTTTATTGCATAGAAATTTAAATTTGGAATAAATAATAAAATTTTAAAACATAAGTTCACCAGGGGATCTCAGTAAAAAAAAAAAAAAGAGTCAAACAATCAGACCAAATTATATTGCTTGATGGATAGCTATTATTTTTGCTATTTTATAAAATCCCTATTCAGCACTTATTTTCTATATATATTGAATTTGTTGATTTCTCCCAGTAGGACAATATCAACTAATAGATAAAATTTTAATTTTTCTTTTATGGTCATATTGTCTTAAAATTCAATAATTTTTTTAAAAGCATAGTTTTGAATGATTTGCATGTAAGTGTTCAGTAATTATAACATACCTAGAACATCAAGATGAACCCAGGAACCATTCTTAGGAGAATCGGGAGGTCGATTTAAAAAATATACTTTGCACTCATACCAGCCCTGATCAGCCTCTCTGACCGCAGTTAAGTTCAAGGAAGCTAGCCCAGCCAATGAGGCTCTGCCCTCATATCCTTCACCAGCATGAGGTGGATATCCATCATACCAAATATAGATGGGTATTTTCACGTCTTGTTTTTGCCATTGCACAACGTAAGGTACAGGTGCACCTTCAGGAAAGGAGAATGTACAGGGGAGTATAACATCTTCACCAAGAAGCGATGTAGTGTACTCTGGTTCCAACTGAATTATGCCTGTAGGTGTAAAAATAATTAATATTTATTTAAACATAGATTACGGATCATAAAATAATTAAGAAATAACAAGTGTGAAAACAACAACAAAAATAAGCAATATGCTTTAAAAATTTAAAAGCTGGCATCAAATGTCAAAAAGAGAGAGAGAAAGAAAAAGATGAAAATCGATAAATTAGAAAATTCATTGATGATTAAAAAACAGTTAATAAGACTATTGTGCATTTGCTTCATTTATTAACTAATGATATTTTTGCTATCTTAAAATAAACGCTAAGTCACATTCTTTCAACCAGGGTCCTGCTTTTGTGAATTTGGGCAAATAGGGTCCTGTTATTGCAAATAACTTTTTCAAGGAGTTTCTAAATAGGGGTTGTAAAGAGATACAAGATTATGCTCAACACTGTAAAATTTTAATTTTAAAAAAAAATTACATTTTAAAAAAATAAACAGCAACTGGTGCTACTGAATTAGAGATGCAACATACAAATATTTGGTATATAATCTGAAAGCAGAACATTAATTTCGGACGAATAAAGGAAGAAGCGCCTGCCAAAAACAAAACTTAGTTCGTTTACATTTGCCTTTCTTTTCCCCCACCCTGTGGGAAGGGTTTATTCGATTAACAAAGCAATAATGAAGATAAACAAATTTGTGAAGGGTCCGATTAAAAGATAAATTATTTTTTGAAGGGTCCGTTAACGGACCCAAATTTCTTCTAAACAGACCCCTGACTTAATATCTTTTAACCACTTTAAGAACATCATACATGGTTCTCGAAAGTGTGAATTTTATAAATGTAATACATTATGTGTTATTTGATTAAAAAAAATGGTGCGCCGCTTAATAAACCTTAAAACTAAGTCAGTAAATATTGAATTTTGTATTGAATATTGAACATACAAACATTATATTGAAGATAGTAACATACCCGAATAAACAGCCAATGACCAAACAGATATAAAAATAATAAAGTGGCATGTTTTCTTCATAACCATCTCACCACTCATCTGTAAAATTACTCATCTTTGAAGTTAAGAACAGTATCTGGGTTCCTCACTTTACACTGGTGACAGGAACTCAAGATTGATTTGATTGGAAATCGCTAATTTTTTCCTGAAAAAAAAATAGAAATTCATTTTTTGATTTCCAATAAAAGAAAAAAAGTCCTGTAATCCAAAGAATCTAATAACTTAATAATCAAAAACAGAAGGTAAACTAATATTGTTTTCTTTAATGCATAACATTAAATTGGATATAGATAAATTAATATTGCCTTCGAGTTTTAGCATCAAAATACTATCTATTAATTGATATCATTTTCTGGCAAAGAAGAAGCAATCAATTTTAACTTATTCTCCTCGTGAATCTTCCCGTTTATAAAAGTTCAAATGTAAGTAGCAGAATAATATGTTAAAGACATTAAATGCCACAAGAATACTTGACTTTCATGGCCTTTCAGTGGCAAATGGATTCGTTCTTCGGCTGTTTGCCTCAGGACATTGCTCTCCTATTTTTGCACACTAGGGATGGAACAGCAGCATAAAATGGAACAGCATTTTAGAGCAGAAAAAATGTGTTTTCGAGCAAATAAATTTGGTTTTTGGTACAGTTTGGAACAAATTGTCTTTATAGTCAGAGAAGCAAATTGCTTGTAAAATTAGATTTTTGGGCAATTGTGAGCACATAAATTACCATTTTATACCATATTTAACAAAGCTTAGAAAATAATGCATTAAATAAAAAAATTTGATAGAAACACAAAGAATTACTTAATAAACAAATAATTTTTTAGAATTTTTTTCTGCAGACTCAGTGCAGAGTTAATTTTAAAAGAGGATTGTGGGATGCATAGCCATGTTTGTTGTCTTTTGCTCATTTCTACAGGGTTTCTCAAATTATGATATCTTTAATACAATGTTATGACAATATGCAAACTTTGAATTTCAATTATTTATCACTTTTTGAGCTGCTGGATTCGTGATGGTTCCATAAAAAATCCACATCATTTTCCGAACATTTTCTACAAATTTTATGTTGTTCCTAGTTTTTTTAATAGTCTCTATAATATATGTCACAGAATTATATTTAGACACTCTAACTTTGTATTTGAGTAGCGACTATTTGTCAATGATTAATTCAAGAATAACTTTTTTGACATGTCTGATTCCCCAGTAATTTTACATTTTAGGGTCACTTCCGTTTTTTTCTTTTTTTTCTTCTTCCTAATTTGGATTTTAAAACACGATATTATCACAACACGTGATGTGTCGCATTTTTAAGTATTACTCTTGGACTTGCTCTATTTGCATCGATTTTAAGAGTCAATCCTCATCATTTATAGATTTTTTTCAATTCCAATATTTTTAATACATTATATCAAGACAACAGTGATTCTGCTAGACTTTGAAAACTACATGTTTCAGTCCACAAGACTTCCATATTTCTCGGCACCTCTTTTATGAAAAGTGAATTTCTATTTAAACTATTCTTTACCCCTTAATCTATCATCCAATAGGCACATTCATAATTCTTCTCTCTATTGGTAGAAAAGCAAAGAATTTTAATACATGAAGAGTTTTGGACAACTAAGGATTGATTAATTAGGATTACAATTCATTGGGATTGATCAAACACCTGCATAAAGTAAAAGCAACAATGCAATTTGATACTATAGAAAGCAATTAAAAAAGTTAGAAAAGAAATTGATTAAAAAAATGATTATTGTTCATATGTATTTAAAGTTTGCTTACGATTTTGCTAACATACATCTACTGGTGTGCTATTTTTTCCCTGATCGAGAGTTACTTGCCCCAAGGGACGTGTCATAATTTATTTTTTGCATCCCCTCTACAATTTCTGGCTTATCTGACGGTATTATAATCAGGGTGTAAATGATTTTAATCAAATGATTAAAATCATGATTTAAATCAAATGATTTTTTTAAAAAAATCACTGATTTTAATCACAAAAAAAACAATTTTGTGTATAGTCTTGAACATTTTTTGTATATTTTTCTAAGTTTCAAACATAAACAAGTAAGTAGACTGTTCTATATATTTCTAAGATCTCACTCATATAATTCAACATTTCTACTTTCAATGTGACTCATTTGCTTTTAAAAACAGTTTACATATTATATTTATATGATATCGACACCAATATCAGGTCAAAAGTCATGAATATGGCAATTAAAAGAAATGCAGAAGATATGCTTTTAATGTTAAAACCCATTTCTGTAGCATTAGATAAAATGCAAAAAGATAATTGTAGTTTATCAAATGTTGTCAACATCTGGAAAAATTTAAAGGAAACTCTGAAAGATTCTAATAATAATTGCTGCAAAAATTTTTTTACTAAACGATATGAACAAGCGTTAACACCAGCTCATTTCCTAGCTTACCTCTTGGATCCTAATTCTGAAGTACAATGTTTAACACTAAATGAAAAAGATCAAGCTGTAAACTTTATTAAAGAAAAGTATGGAGAAACCTCCTTATTAAGTATTTTGCTAAAATTCATTGTACGCTCTCCTCCGTTTAATGGAACTTTGTTTGATAAAGAATCTCTAGAATCTTTAAACATCTTGGAATGGTGGAAATCAATTGCGCTTCTAAAGAACTGTGTAGGTCAAAAAGAGTTTGACGCAATACAGTTGTTATGTACTGCAAAAGGAACAACTGCAGGGATAGAGAGGATGTTTTCCACTTTTGGACTTGTACATACTAAACTACGGAATCAATTGGGTGTAGAAAAGGCAGCTAAATTAGTCCTTATGTTTAAATCTTTAAATAAAACTAATTAAATGATTGTTTAAATAATTTGATATTGTAGATGTAGAATTAATAATTATCACACATTGTTTGATAAACAATTTCTTTCTTGATTTGTAGTTTGAAATCACTTTGTCATTGTTTATTTCTTATTTCACCTTTTGCTTTTAAATTATTAAGAAATATTTTGTTGATAATGGTTAGTAATGTTTATTTCCAATGTATACCATAAGTATCAATAGTAATACAATACAACTTTAAATCTATGGTACACAAAATTGATTATATTCCATAGAATTGAAATTATAAAAAAATCATGATTAAAATCAAACAAATCCGATTAAAATCAAAAAAATCATGATTTTTATACACCCTGATTATAATGCTTAAGCAGAATCACTGGACAAGTAAATTTTGTTGTCTTAGTAATAACTTCCTGATGTGCTTGATTTGATAGAGAAAAACGTACCTAACTACGTAAGTTAATAGACATTGCTTGTAGTGAAAATGAATGATGCTTATTGTTTTGAAGCAACAAAACTGATTTTTGCACATGGTGGTGCCGAATTTTTGCGCCGAATCGGGCCAAAGCCCTGCTTTTTGTTTAATGAATATTATTAGAGTCTTGGAGATGATTGAACCAAACTTGGAGAAAAGTGGAATTTTGGAAAAAGCTGAAGAAGAAATTTTTTGTTGGAGAAGTTAGAAGCAATTTGAGCAGCTGTTACAACCCTGAATCACTGTTAGAAAAGCAGTATCGAGAAGGATCCTATAGGAATCAGTGAGTAGGAAATAAATATCCATAACGTAAAATTGATGAAATTTCTGAAGAAGTTTTCCTCATTACAATAAGAATATAATTACATAAAAATTTTATACACCGTAAAAAAATCAGATTCTTTTGACTTAAATCAAGATTAAATAATGATCTTTATGAAGAAAAAAAATCTATCAAAATCGATGATTTAAAAAAAAATCAAGTGATTTAAATCATGTAGACCCTGATTAAATTACTCTTACAGACAGTATTATCCAATTTTTGACAATTGAGGCTTCTGACAATTGAAGGCACCTCACATAACAAAACTAAAAAATTTCTAAACTTAAACAGCATTAGGAAATTTATAATAACCATACTAAATATTGATAATAACTTAAACACTTGAATTTATTTATTGAAAAAAAAAATTAATAATAGATTTCAGCCATAATTACATTTTTTTTGTAAATTATAATCAATTTACTAATTAGGAGGTGTATTATTATCATGATTTATAGATAATGTTCATGTACAGTAAGCCAAAAAAAAAAAGAGAGAGATCACCATGAATAACCTAATGATTGGATTTTTACATACTAAGTACCAATCTTTAAGGTTTACGGATTGAATTCAAATATGACAATTAGTGCTAACTATTAAATAAATTGTGAAATCAGGCACAAAAACAAACTTTCTCTGAATAAACATATATATATATATTTTTTTTTTACATATTTGGATTACTGACAATCAATATTTTGAATAAATTAAATAAAAATTTAGGATGCCAGGAAGTTTTATACATTTGGCGCCGTCCAAAAAGAGGCCAAGAATTATCACCTTAGCAGGATTAGAAATTTCATCTTCTCCATTTTTTGCATGAATAGTACATTTAGTGAATTGTTCGAATTGAAAATTTTTTATCAGCAGAATATTCTTAATTTCTTAACAAGATTTAATTTTCAGCTAGCTACCAATGATTCTCAGTTTTCTTTTAATAAAAATGTGTCCTTAAAGGAAAACTTAAATTACTAGTACTAAAACAATTGATTAGTATATTAATGGGAAAATAATACACGTAGAAGCGCAAAAAATGAGATTTTGACAAATGTTAATATTTAATTACGTAGTTGGTAAAATAATTCTACGAAACACGAGTGGATAGATAAATAAAAAATTTATTTTAAAATGATATATAAGATGTTGAGAAATTTTAAGACGCTTAAAAATGTTGACTATGTATTCGCATAAATAATTATAAAACATATATATTTAAGAGTGGATAGATAATTAAAAAATTTATTTTAAAATGATATATAAGATGTTGAGAAATTTAAAGACGCTTAAAAATGTTGACTATGTATTCGTATAAATAATTATAAAACATATATATTTAAGAAATTGATAAATATATTATTCCAAATCTATGCAAACGTTTGTATATTATTGAAATTGTATCAATTATTGAAAGAACAATCAAAAAAATAAAATTAAAAAAAGCTGATGTATTATCACATTCTGTCAGAAACAAGCTTTTATAAAGCTCGACATTCTTTGAATAAAATGCATTTTAGTCAATAAAATGTTTTATTCAAATCTCTTTATTAAATTAGGAATAAATTTTTAGACGAATAAAAAAAAAAAAAACATTTTATTTTATAATTAAAAAAAAAGGATTAGCAATTGTTTATTAGTGAAAAAAATATGAATTAAATTTTACACTTTGCGAGCGTAAGTCAGGTTTCTCATAAGTTATGTACAATTAAATATTTATCACCTCACTTAAATATTTCTTCACTGTCACCAAATTATTATTTTTTAAACAATTAATTAAAATTTTTCGCGGCTTCTACTAAATAAAAACAGTTGAAACTTTAGATTTTGCAATGAAAAAATACGTAGATTAATCTGGCACAAAAAAATTACATCTTATAATTCAAAATCGTTTCATTCACAATTAAATTAAATAATAAAAAAGAATAACAAATAATTATTAACAATTATTTTTTGCAATTATAAGGTCATCCTCAGGAACCATTAGTACATGAAAACCGGATCATTAGAACGAAACGAAAGTTATAGGTTGATATATTTTTCCTTTTTCTTCTGCTCACTGTAAATATAAGCTACAAATATTGAAAATCAAAAAGATTTTCACAAGTTAAGAGCAGACAATTATTGACAAATTAATATTTAGATAGATAACAATCAATAACTCATGGTCATTAATTTTGCAATATTAACTTAATAGTTATAACATATCAAATAATAATGACCTATAACTATAACAATAGTTACCAACTGGCAGCCCTGCCTGACGAGCCTTTTTTTTTGTGGCTCGCAAACTAAAATATATTAGTTCTCTATTTATTTTGCGGATAATTGTCGTAAAAAATCTGTATGGGTTTAAAATACTTTTCTTTCGCTTAAAAAAAACCTAATTTCTTAGTTTCTGTGAAATTTAACATACCAACGGCACAATCTACTTATTTTAATTTGTAATTCAATACTTTTTTTTTGTACAACTTGATAAAAATCTGACAGTATTTTATGTCCCTTCAAATATAACAGAGTCCTATATAAAATTTTAATGAAGTTGCGGTCCGCCATTTGACTGGTGTTTTTAGTTGCGGCCCCTGGCTTCCTGCAAGTTGGAAATCCCTGATCTTTAAGTATAAATAGTATGTTTTCTGAAAAAGCAGTAATAGTTTCTTGGCTATATTTTTTGCACAATATTGTGGATAATTTAAACAATTAAGCAGCTTAACTTCTAATAAAATTTCTCTAATGAGAGAATAGCAACTTGCCTCATATTTTTGTGAGATTTCGACATCAAGTCAGAAACTTACAAAAGTTATGTCAAAACCAGTTTTTGACATCAAGATAGCTCATAACATATTATTACAATGATACTTTTTTTACGAAAGAAATAATAATTGAACATAATAATTCAATTATACAATTAATTTTGAGTTCACTTACCCAATCCAGTAAAGTAATGGATAAAGCATAACCTTCATCTTTAATCCTTGTGCAGCTTCAGCTCACGTTTCACAAGCAATTCTAAAAATATATCAAAATATGTTATTTTTTCCCTATTAATTTACAATATTATATTATGAATTTCTGGAAGAAAAAAAAAACAACAGAGCTTTACATTTTTACTGTTTCAAGCGTTACTAATTTACCCATTCATCAATCAAACAGCAAACTAATTTTTTATTACACCAACAATAACATTAAAACGCAAGATGGTAAATCAAAAAACATTTCACTTATAAATAGTATTTCACTGCCAAAACTTACTTTTGCTTTATTTTTTAAATATCATATTGCTTTATTTTTCAATATTGCTTCATTTTTTTAAATTAAAAAATATTTTTTTTGATAAATTAAAAATATAGGGAAAATCTCAGTGTAGTTATCTACGCCAAAATAATCATCAAGTCATTGTGTCCTCTGGGCAGCAGTCCTTAAGAAACAAAAATAATAAAACACAGAGCTCTATGGGTCCAACTCGTAATCATCCCCAAGAAATCTCATAATTTTTTAAAAAATTTCACAGTTCCGGAACTTGATGATTGTAGATGGTGCAACAGTTCAGTGAAAAGAACATCTAATTTTTTATGTCACAATCTAAATTTGTCTACCTTTGCAACCTAAAATCTCTTTCAGACAAATAATTTTGACGTTCTTTTTCCGAAAAAAAAATATTTTAATTGCTAAAAAGAATGTCTCCTTCCCTTCAAATTAAAAATGTTTTCATAAATTCCAATTTGTAAAAAATTTATTTGAATGATTTAGTGATTTATTTCTTAAAACTTTGATAAGGAAAACTTTCATGATATATATTATTAAAAAGTTCAATTTGGTGTCTAAAATATTGATACACAGCATTTTATTGATAACTAAAATTGATTAGAAATAATTTAAATAATAACAAACACATTTTTGAAATTTCAAAACATCTATATCTATCCATATCTATATGATAGAACTTTTTTCCTTATTTTAAGCTATTCTTTGAGAAAGTATCTATGGACTATCTTAGCCTTGATTTTTTTTAATAACTTAATGTAACCTATTTGCATTTTAATTTCTTGCATAATTTAAAATATAGGTACAAATACAGTTTTAATCTTTGAAGCATCTATCAAACATACTGAAATATTTCAATTGCTTTCTTCTTTTCTTATATCATTTAGATCTTAAAAACTCGAATAATGCTTCGGTCATATTTCAACATAATTATTTAGGAAAACTTTATTAATCATTCAACACCAACCAAAATAATGGCAGTAATTTAAAACTTATAATTGGTAACTAGAAATAGAAATCTGGATCTTGCAAATTATTTCCATACTGGTATTATAAAGGTGACAAGTACATTTCCAAAGGAAGCAAGATGATATGAATCAAAACAGTACAATATCAGTAAAAAAAAACTTTCTTCAAAATAAAACATTTTAAAATTTGAAAAATAAACTACATCTAATATCTCTTATGATATAAACATTGTATTATAAATGATGAATTTGAATTATTTATAATATACCTAAAAATTATCATTCAATATAATCTCACTGGGAAAATTTAAAAAATCATAGGACAATAAAAAAACTTTCAACCATATAATACATACTTTTTTAACATAGCAATAATAGCACTTATTTAACATAAAAAAAATAAGAAAGATCTCGCAAGTAACACAGTGAACAATTTATTTTAATATTGAACCCCAAGTTCACTACCAAAAATAAAATAAATAAATAAATAAAAAGAACTATTAAAAGTATACACACGTGATGAATCAAAGTAAAATGAAACATCTTTTAAATATGACATTTTTAAATTTCATAGAATAAACTATATCGATAATACTTGAGATTTAAAAACTGCTTAAATCATCATTACCTTGAAGTAGTTAGGATAATCGCCCCCAAGAAAAGTATAACTATAAAATATAATGATCTTTTTAAAAATTAATTTACTCAAAAAAACTTAATCCTAATTATGCTTTTCAAGCATTCTACTACCTAAGAGCACTACTAAATAATTTTGTATCATTCGAAACTTAATCATTTCATTATAATAACTTATGCATTTAAAACAAAAACTATTTTTTAAAATATCTTTCGCTAAATATTAAAGAAAAAATCAATAATGGAAAAATAATATCAGCATATTTTTAGATATCCTCAGGCGAATCTTCAAATACCAAGATACGCTAGAGTAATTCAGGCTTAAAATAATGTTAAAAAGAAAAATAAATTGCTGAAGCATAAATCCTGAGCATCATTAGCAACTTTGAATTGCTTCTTTAGTTAAACGTAACAATTTTTTTAATATACTAAACAAAATCATTTGTTTACCTGCAATAATGAGATGGAGGTAAATTCCGATAGACCTGTCAGGTAAATTTAGCATTTACCAGCCGGACTCCATCAGGTTTAGGAATAACAAGTTGCAGCAGAAACGATCTACGAAATCAAACATCCATAAATACTTGAAGTTCTTCATTTTCACATCAATAAATTTCACTCTATAATGATATAAAAGCTTTTAATTCTTGTTGAATCACAAATAATTAGCCGTTATCAAGAGCAATAACACTCGAGTTCATAGCCAGCGAGGAAAGCGCCCTCTGAATATTTGATTTTTGGTTTGTTTTTATTTTCGTTTTATGTTGACAGGTAAGTTCAAGTCACGGTTCAACAATCTTTCGATAACAGCCTTGGATGCTAATGATGAATTTATTCATCCTCAGTGTCACTGAAGAGCCTGAAGCGTAACGCATTAATGAAGAGCAAAAGTTCTTCATTTAATTAATGGAGAAAGCATCATCAAGCTCTTTCAAACCATCGGCAGACTAAGCGAAAGTTGGATTGAAAGAAAATCTCGTTATTCTTAAATATTGATAATTTTTTCGAAATAATAGAACATACATTAGTTCCTTAAAAAAGAAAGAACTGTACCCCTGCAGTTTTTATTGCATGTTTTTGAAAGGAAAATGAAATGTGCATTTTACACTCTAAATTATTGATCGTAGCCAGAAGGGGAAGGGAAAAAAAAAATTCCCTGCCTCTATTTCGATCTTCTTTTCTTTTCTTTCTTTTCTTTTTTTTTAACAAAATTGTACCCATATATAGAGTAATTTTTTTCTCTTAATATCTCAATTTAATACATTTATTCAGACATTTAGGATAAAAAATAAGAAATATTACTGAAATAATAAGAAAACGTAGGACCGTTAGTAGAAGTTTTATTTTCTGCTGTCGAGAAAAATAATGCTTGACTTCAAATAAGCTGAAACGAATGCAGATATTATTTCAAAATATTTAGAAAAGAAGTGTTACCAAAAGTTATAGATCGAATCTGTAGTAAAGTGTTATCAATTTTAGTCGCCGGAGCATGATTCCAAGACAACTATGGTCCTGCAGTGAAATGATTGTAAAGACATGATTCCCAGTAGGACATCGATGTCAAACATTACTGGCTGCAGTCAGTAAGCGGGAGGGTGACCACTTTGATCAGCCAACGTAGGGGCCGAAGGTGCGCAGTTTCGGTCATTATTAAACTGTTCTAGAGTAAAGTGCTCGACTTCACATCATTGGGCTACCAAGGTGGAGGAGCCATCCCCTCTTTGGAGGATCAAAATTGTGTTGGCATGTCTTTGGATCATCCTCAGGAATGTTTCCCAGACCGTCACCGTCAGTCCATTGTGCAGCTCTGGGGCGGCGTAAATAAAATGACTACCTTCCAAGACAACTATGAAACGTCAATTGAAAATCAAAACTTTTGGTGACGTAGTTTTTAATTTGCGTTAAAATTTCAAATTTAACCAGTAATTATTTAATATGACAATTTTTTTAAAAGGGCTTTCATTGAAATGTATTTGCGCTAACGCACAAGCTTCACCTTTAAAATTGTGAATTGCTACCTGCCAGACCAGATTATAAGGGAAATGTAACTGTGACCAGTATTGCATATCGTCTGCAATTAATAATTTGGATACAAATATTTTTGATGTGCATTCAACTAATTTAGAAATTATATGTTTATAAACATCATTAAAAAACTATTTTCAATGCACCTATATTATCTTTTTTTTCTCATGGTGCGTTTTTGATTTCATTATCGATGTATTTTTTGTTAATTTTTAATCGACCTTGATATTTAACGTGTTTACTTTTAACTAATTAAAGGATTTTTAAATTTGCACTCTTTATATTAAATAGCGTATAACGTTTCCATTTTACAAAAGTTTTTAGTGGTTGTGTTCATTGATAAATTTTGTGTGATCGTTGGAAAATAATTTGACGATTTTATTTATTTTAGTTTGCTTCCATTAGTTTACTATTTTTATTTATCTTAAAATACAAGTAATAAACAAAAGTTTTTGTTGATCATTCTTAAACCTGGATTTTCTCATGAAAAATGATCTCTAATTATTTTTATGTAGTGCCTGAAGTACCACAAAGATTGCCTAATAATTTTATATAAGTGAGAAGATTGTTTCTAATTTATAAACTATTGTCGGAAAAAAGTAGTTTAACTGTCAGTGAAAAATCTCTACATTTTAATATGAAGTTCAATATTTTTAGTTACATTTGATGTTGTGATTTGTATTTATTTATTTTTGATGTTCAGCTATATAAAATTAACTTTTAACTAATTGCTTTTATTTCTTTACTAATTAATTTTAAAACAAGTTATATTTTTGTATACTCTGTCTCAAGCTAAAGCTCTTTCTTTCTTTTTTTTTTTTTTAAATTACTTTTGCAGCTCTTGCATTATTGTTTTTGGTTGCAGCCTTCCTAACAGAAATGCCAATAATTTGGACTTTTGGATAAATAAAAAAGAGAGGAAAAAAAAGTAAGGTGTATTATAATTATGCTCCATTTTGAAAGAAAAATGAAGTTTTCCTTTTTATCTTTCTGGCTTAGGGTATTCCCTCAATTCTTATTAGCATGTAAATAACTTGTTTTATTTGCCTAGCTTAATTGTTTCATAATATGCTCTGCACAGTAATGTGAAGTTGTTATTAAATAATTACAACCTTTCCTTAACTGAATTCTTTTACATTATCTTAAAAATTAAGGCCAACATGTTTTTGAACCTAATGAAGTGTATTACTTCCATTTTGTGCATAATTTACAACAGTAGTCTTTAAATTGTACAAAATTTAAAAGATAAAGTTGGTTATATTTATAGAAAATGTGAATGTAGTGTAAACTCTCCTTATGTTGGAACTCCTAGAAATTACTAACTTCATCTTCTGGAAAATTATTGGAAAGACTTTGAGTACGTCAAGTTTATCAGAGTTGTTGCCTATGTATAAATCATAACCCAAATTGTATATGTATAAAAGTAGTTTCATTTCAGTTTATTTTCAACTAATTTCTTGTTGGAATTTTTAAAGTTGTTAAAATAATTAAAGTCTGTAAAATCTCAAAAAAAGTGAAATTCTGTTTCAAGAAGCAAATTCAATAGTTTTATGTTGTGTGAAAGGCTAATTGATAATTGATAGATAATTGAAAAGTTGATCATTTCAACTATTAGTCTTTTTAATTAACGTTCTTCTTTTTAATGATTACAGTTTTATTACAAAGAAGAAAAATAATGATTAGTCTATGAAAATGTCAGAGTCCAATACTATAGGGACCAATGATGGGTAAGTCGATTTAATCATTTCTATTTAAATTGTTCTAAAGCCGATAACTAAATACAGCCGAGCCCAAAGAATTTTAATCAGAACCCACACAAGCGCAGGATTCATAGGATAACTTAGAGCTTGAGATATACGGGAGATAAAAGGTTAAATTTGCTGTCTCACCACTCAGCATTTGATATCTAAAAAAAGGAAATTAATCATTCAAACCTTTTTTATGACTAGCTTGTAAAATAAAATATGAATAAAAAAATTTAACTGACTGAAACTCCTAGAGGATTAAAACAAAAATTAGAAAAGAAAATCAAAATTTTAAGCTAATTAAAAGTCATTTGAAAAGTAGTGTTAGCCTCTCAAAGCAAAAGAACCAAAGAGAAGTAATAGATTCCTGTTATTTTTTATACCTTATAAATTTTAAATTCACTACATAACTAAATAAAAAAATTTTATACCAGTTAAGAAGTTTATAAATATTTTATGGTTAGCCCGAGCCCATTTAAAAAAAATTTTCTGTAAGCAAACACCAGCCCGCGTCGGGCTTGGGCTGAGCTTCTTTTATCTCTCGTATATGAATTTAACTGATAGAATTACAAGCTCTTTTGATTAAAGCAGTTTTTTATGGTAGCACTTACTTTCAATTCTTTATTGATGTTTAGTAAATACAGTAGGAAATTTAATTATCAATATTATAATATGATATTTATATATGTATACAGTGTGTTGGCGCGCATGTGCGTCAGCGCCCCAACCGGCAGAAGATTTTGTAACTTCCACAATGACAGACGGCTCTCATGTAGCTCCGTCTAATTAAAAATAATTCTCTGAAATCGCTTTTAGCGATTATTAAAAGAAATAAAATAAAATCATCTCTTTTTAAGAAAGAGTGGTCCGTCTTATAAAATTTTTCTATTCATCTGGCTCCGTCGAACTTCGGAGTTTGAACCAGAACAATGGCTAAGCCTATGGATGTCATAAATAGATCACGAACTTCATTTAAAGGTAAAATTACCCGCCTAGAAAACTTTCTACAAATTGATGACCTGCATGACATCACGGAGTTAAATGTCAAACTTAGAAGTGTAGAAGTCTTAAAAAATAGAAGTGAGTCATTGCGACAAGAATACTACAACTTGGACATTCAACCTGGTGATATTGACACCATCGATACTGATTTGAATCAATGTGATGAACGGTTGGATAATTTAGAGGTAGGAATTTTAAAATTAATAAATTCTAATAAACTATTGAACTCTGATTCTAATAATAAGACAGAGAATAATCATAAACTAAATGATAACTTAGAAACTGTATTAAAAATTCCTCCAATTAATCTTCCTATATTTAC